ATTTTCATCATGGTCCAGTGGAAGTGAAAGGACTTGTCCTTTTGTCGTTCTTGTGGGCTAGACAAGCACAGGAAGATCGAGTGGAAGACTCTGATGGTGGTCGTGCAGTGGACACAAATATTTGCTTCTATGTCCACACAAATTTGTCTAAGTGGTTGAGTTGGTGAGGGATAGATAGGTAATTACCTGCTCTTAAACACCACAGAACAATGAAAGGGAAAGGAGCAGATCTTCTATTTTAAATGTATTTTTCTATTAGTTTAATTATTTTATATTATTTTATTATTTTAAGTATTTCCTGTTTCAATTCATTAGCTATATAAAGGACACATACACACATGTATGTGTGTGTGTGTGTGTGTATATATGTATATATATATATATGTATATATATATATATATATATATATATATATATATATATATATATATATATATATATATATATATATATATAGTATGGGACAATAACCAATTTCAAGGTTTACCGTGGTTTGGAAAAGTCATGGTATTCAAACCATTCCTAAGGTAAATATTTTAAGTGTTTTTTTGTTTTTTTTTCATGTATTGTAAAGAAATGTGTGTATTTTGGAACTAATGAAGACAGCATAAGTCAATTATTTAATACAATTTTTTAGCTTGATATGTTTACTGTTCAAAAATAGTTTTTTATTTTTTATTTTTATTTTTTTTTTACTGAGACTGTTAAAAAGATCTTATTTTTGGGTAGTAATCACAATACGGTGATACTGTGAAACCATGATATTTTGCAAGGTTATAACGTTGGGATATTGGGATTTTTTTTATGTTGTTTGTTTAAGCTACTCATGTAAAATGAGCTGATACAGCACAGTTTTTGAGGTTTTTTGGGACAACTTAATTGCTTCTTGTTCAATCTACTTAGTTTTGTAGTTATCCCAATTGATTTCTGTTGGTACAGCATTAAGGAAATGTGTGGAACCCAGCAATTTATTTACAGTGAATCAAAAGAAAACATTTATGCAGATATTGGGATTGTTCTAGGGATAATTCCCACAAAAATTAAAGGTGTAAGTTTAATTAATTAATTAATTAATAGTTTGTTTGTTTGTTTGTTTGTTTGTTTGTTCGTTCGTTTGTTCGTTCGTTCGTTTGCTTGTTTGTTTGTTGGCTTGCTTGCTTGCTCGCTTGTTTGTTTGTGATATAGCTCAGGACGATTTGCCAAGGCTGTGGTTTAAAAGTAATTGTGTTGTAAATAATTTTCAGTTTCTTGTAGTTTCTTGTTGATTGACTGTCAAAAGGTTTGCATTTCAGGAATCTCCAAGCACAATGGTTTCAGCAATCTTTTTAAGATTTTTTTTAAAGTTTATTTATTTTTAAGAAAGGCAACACTTCAAAATTCATTTTTGCTTGTTCAAAGTCATTTAGAATGTGCAGAAACAACACAATTCTTGAAGTTTAATTAGGACAACTTATTTTTTTTATGATCAAACCACAAATTTTATAAAAGTTTAAAGCTAACTTATTAATTGGGACAACATGAATGAATTGTGTGGAAACCTGCATTTTTACAGTATACTACATCTTAGATGGGCTAAGAATGAGTAAATTAAAGCAATATTTCATCTTAATAATGCTTAAAAAAGTGAGTATAATCAACAGAATGTCCAAATCAAACAACCAAAAATAAATGTTAAGTTCTAGTAAATTAAAATAAATCACATATTGAATGTTATGTTTAGAGTATAAACACAATAGCATATTTAACAAGTGTTTATGGCACAAGCAGGAGATCTTTTTTTTTTTTTTGGATTGAAGCAATCGTGCGGTGTCTGACTCAACCATTAGTCACAATGCTAAATGCTGAAATTGAGAGGTATAACAAATGATGAAGGGACCCGTGTTCCCCAAAGGGCACTTCTTCTCAACAAGTCTTAAGGAGTGCTGCTACAACCTGCCTGTTTGCCTTCAATGCAGAGGTGATAAATAGATGTGTATGCATAAATTCAGGCTGCAATCTGTTGGGTCAATGTGTTTGATTGTCCAGCCTCATGTGAGAATGTGAGAAGCAAATGCAGCTCTTTTGTATCACTGCAGTCTGATTTACATATATCAGTGCAACTACATTCCTGTGAACTGAAGATGAGCATCAATGCAAAAAAAAAAAAAAAAAAAAAGTAAAATACAACATTGAATCCATTAAATATGTGCAGTAAGAGATATGGATGCATGAAAACTAGGAAGCATAAACATTTGCAACAGCATCTCATGCACATAGAGTATATACTTGACAAAGCTCACGTATCATTCACAAACCATAAGCGTGGAAGGGTGGAGACTCGGGGATTGTGTTCCTTCATAAAATCAACATTTTCCTTATCTGATCTCCTCAAAAATCCAACAAAAATCCGACAAAAAAGGCATGCATGCCTTAGACTAAATACCCATTAATCTGTTGCTTTATCTGTTAAAAAGCACAGTTTGCCTCACAACAATTATAAAATGTTTTATTTAGAAAATAAATGCAAGTTTTATTTACATAGCTTCACTTCATTATGCATTGTAAGTGGAATTGTTTTTAAATAAATCAAAATATAATCATTTATAGCTCTCTGTGTTTGTTCCTAAACATAAATGTGAACTGATCTGTTTCATCTTGTCACACAAGTGACAAATTAAATTCAATTAAAATGGTGATGTGTAAAAACCAGGGTTTAATTAGTGTCAGATGTGCTTCATGAATTTATTAAAGGTCTCTTTTCTGTATTATGTTATCAGGGAAATGCTGGAAAAACCAAGAATGAAATTAGAAGCCTATGCAAAAACAACACACACAGCCAAGGGCATAGATCCCATTTCATCTTACAATGGAACAACAAATATGATTTTTCTTTACAGTACCATAACTATACGAAGTGCATTGTGGAGTCACCCAAAAAATATTTTTTGTATATGCCAATGTTATTGTTAAGCGTTATGATAATCTTAAAAGCATGCATTAAGGGATACTGGATAAAATATATATTAATTATTTATTTATATCCCCAGGACCAGTGCATCAGCATTTTATTTTCTTGATACAAAAATTGCATATATGTGGGATATCCATTTTTATCCATGGATCAGTTAAATTGGACATTAAACGCTGGCCAAATTAGACATTTTGTAAATACGACATGTCTCCGGGAAAACGTCCTGTCTGTAAATCTGCTATCTCCTTAATTGTGTTTAGAAAACAACAAAAGAGGGAAAAACGAAACAAAACTCCAGTTTTTTAAACAAGTGCAGGCCGTTATCCAAAAAAAAAAAAAAAACTCAAACTATCTCAAACAAACCCGGTGCCTACAAATAATAATAATAATAATTTTGATGAATTAAAAACGATGAAATGTATTCGATTTAATTATCATTATTATGCTGTTTAATCATATTTGCATTTAATAAATGATGTGCACACAGAACTGAAATCATCAATTCGGTTTGCTGTCCTGGATTTCGCACGTCTGTTGCCGTCTCAGCTGTAATTATTCTTTACAATGAAAATAAATAAACTGTACTCTGCCTGTGCTGGGGAAAAGGACACCCTTTGTATTTCAGGAAATTCTCTCCATTTCCATTTCCACGTCTGTCCAGACAATGCGATTGTAGCGGATCCTGAATTACGTAGATGGGGTAAAAATAACTGGACTATATAAACTGCAAAAGAATCCGATTGTGCAAATGCTGCTGGTTTGCGCACACAGAACAGAAGCTGCGCGCGCAAAACGCTCATATAAAAATGCTTGAAATACAAGCATGTGCCTTTTAAAAGCGATAAAAAGTACTTTTGAAATGTTCATCTACATTTAGATTGTGGCGAAGATATTTAATGCCACGTCCCGGACCCGGAGGCATTTTTTGGAACTGAGTATTTTTGTTTAACGCTGGCCACCTTGTCTTTAAACATTGGCCCGAGAGCATTAGCCCGTTCATTTGCATTTTAATCAACTGAAAGAAGAGGTCTATTGACTCAGAGATCATTAACTAACATGTACCTGCATTGTTGAACATTGAGATTATCATGTTGTTTCGATGGCTCCGAGATTTTACAGCTGGTTATTCAAATGTTAATTGAGCCGGAGTTGGACGGATAAATTAATACTTATTTCAGACATATGAGATCAGGTCTATTTTAATACGAATGAAGAGGTGAAACTCACAGCAATGTAGTTGGCTTATTGAAACCACAATAGTTCTATTTGATAGGTTAGCCTGCCACATATTTGTTTTACTATTTAAAAAATAATTAGGAATGATTGTAGTTGATATTTTCTTATATATATTTTAACTGTTTGTTTTTACTTGTTTAGTTAAGTATATACTATAATTTAGCCCCTTTAAATAAATCATTCATTGTTATTACAATTTAGATTTTTTTAAATGTATTTTATAATTCACCAACATGATGTTTAAACGTCCCTCCAAAAAAAAAAAAAAAAAAAACTGCACGAAGTTTCACTGGACAGAGGGGTTTGTGGCGCCCCCTTTAGCACATGGATTTACAAATGAGAAAATAAATTTGGGAAAAACATCCAACGAATCTCATATCCATTTTTGGACTTACACATACGGAAATCTGTTGGGATGAAATAGTTTTCAGTATTATGGTTAGGCTTATAAAATAATAATTATAACCAATTAGTCTATATTGTGTGATGTTTATAGGCTTATTAACATGAAAACGCTGCAGACAAACTGATTCTTTTTGTAATTTATACTAGAGAACATCATCATAAAACTCATTTATCTTCTACAACATAAATTACTATTTGTAATTTAACGAAATAATGAGATACGCTTAATTAACGTCCAAATAATCAATTGTACTTTAACTATATTGACATGTTGTTGAAAACAGCCAGAGTAAGTATCTGATAGGCTACAACTACATCCCAAGCGTCATGAGAACACGCCCACTATGCATTCAGACCCTCCTTATAATGGGACAGGTAGACATCCAGCCAAACATATTAGAGACGCATTGTCTGCCTCGGACTGAATGAGAGTAAACACCTTCTGAGTTCCCTAACATTTGCAACATGGCTCTTGCAGATGCGATGTTGCCTTCGATAAATACCTTTTCAAACAACCACATTTTAGACGAGAAGCAGTCTGAAATAGTTCGGGTGAGTTCAACCTATTAATGTTTTAAATGTTGGATATTTCTGTACTTCAGCGTGTTTGTTTGTAGCTACTTTTTTAACTGTTAGAAAATGAGTAGTGGTTATCTGAGCAACATTGTAGCCTACGTCAACAAACTTAAGTTCGTTATACTGTGTTATCAGCTAATATATGTTTACACTTCAAGAAAGTAAAAGCTTAAAGTTTTTAGTGAAACGGGCCTAGATAAAGTTGTTTGTGGTAGGTTGTGTTGTACATTTCAAATAGAACATTTATTTTTAGAAAGTTGACACATTGGTAGTCGTACACAGGCAACTGCTAAATGTTTATTGTAGATTTTAAAACTGTCCTAATAATTAGGACTAGAATAAAAATTACTTCAACGTCTGCAGAAATAAGCAGTCTAAGTCGAAAGTTGTGTTTTCTTTTTCTCCAGGACTGGAAAGTTGATATAGCAAAAACTAACCCAAGGGCTGGAGACGTGAGACCCCTTATTGAGGTGGAGTTCAGCATTGTCGAATCTCCACCTTTGGCCAAAGACGAGGATGATCTTTCCAAGTTTTTGGATCTAGAGTTTATTCTGTCCAACACGGTCACGTCTGACAACGACAACACCTCAGCACCGCCGCCCGCCTATTCCCTCCCGGAATCACCGGAGAGCTGCAGCACCGTGTATGACAGCGATGGATGTCACCCGACCCCTAACGCCTACTGTGGCACCAACTTCAACTCACGTCCAGGACACAGTCTGGTAGCCGAACTGTTTACCCCGGACATGAATTATCAGGGCGAATATAATCTGAAAGGACATTTAGACAGATTGGAGTACACTGAACTGAGAGCTCTAAACACACGAAACCAACAACACCTGACCAACTCGAATAACGCGGGATATAAAATTAAAACCGAGAACCAAGAGCAATCCTGTATGATGGTAAACGACTACATGGGTCATTATTACGCACAAGAACCCCAGCGCGTAATGCAGCATCAAACGTACGGGCATCACGTGCAGCAAGATGTGCCTCGGGACATTTTAGGAAGGAAAGACTGCATCCTGACAGAGATGAACACTCAGCATCACATTGACATCTCGCATCAACAGCAGTTTATAAACAATGCGCATTTTCCACCTCAGTACGCCCAGCATCAACAGTACCACGGACATTTTAATATGTTTAGCGAACCACTGCGGGCAAATCACCCGGCCATGCCAGGTGTGATGCTGACTCCACCATCCTCACCTCTCCTGGGATTTTTAAGCCCAGAAGACAGCAAGCCAAAACGAGGGCGACGCTCTTGGGCGCGCAAAAGGACCGCGACGCACAGTTGTGAATTCCCTGGATGCGGGAAAACGTACACGAAAAGCTCCCATTTGAAAGCGCACATGCGGACGCACACAGGTATGTGGTGAAGGTTTAAATTCGAAGTTTTTTTTTTTTAAATAACTGTCATTTAAATACCTAAAAAACTTTTTATGCAATACTAAATGTTTCTTTTCGTCGTGTTCACAGGTGAGAAGCCCTACCACTGCAGTTGGGAAGGTTGTGGCTGGAAGTTCGCCAGGTCAGACGAACTGACGCGTCACTACAGGAAACACACCGGACACAGGCCATTTCAGTGCCACCTGTGCGAGAGGGCTTTCTCCCGCTCAGATCACCTGGCTCTGCACATGAAGAGGCACATGTAAACATAAAGAGAGAGACTATATCTATTTTAAGCAACAAGAGGATTTATATCGACGAGACAACTCCTATTTTGGGACAGCAGTTATATGTGAATAGCGGTAAAATGTCATTTGATTTAAATTATGACAGTATTTAATTGAAGGAGATTCTTGTTCATTTAGAAGGTAAATTATGTAGTACTTTTTCAGATGTATAAAAACGGGGCAGGACCCATACTTTTGTATATATGTTTTTTTTTTTTTGTATTCCCATTTATACATTTGTATCAAGTCAGGGAGTATTTTTCATGAATTTTCAGAATAATTAAAAGCCTTGCTTTTTTGTACTCCGCTGTTTGTCTCCTTTTCTCACTTGACATGTAAGGTGTAAAACCAGAAGCTTTTTGCATAACTATGGCCAAGATGTTGCAAGATTCTGCTTTAACTAATTTAACCAACGATTAGCCAAGGGGTAACTAGCCGCTATACTCTTTTTCAAAATACAGTTTTTAAAAAGTTATGATTAAGAAAAACAATAAATAAGACTACTATGCTGTTTTTTTTTGCAACTGGCCCAAAGAGAAAAAATATCTACACAAAGAAACTATTGCACAAATATATATATATATATATATATATATATATATATATATATATATATATATATATATATATATATATATATATACAGTTGAAGTCAGAATTATTAGCCCCCCTAAATTATTAGACTGTTTGTTAATTTTTTACCCAATTTCTTTTTAACCGAGAAAAGATTTTTGCAACACGTTTCTAAACATAATAAATTTAATAACTAGTTTAATTTTTAGTCTAATTTTTTTGTCTTTACCATGATGTCTGTAAATAATATTTTACTAGATATTTTTCAAGACATTTACAGCTTAAAGTGACATTTAAAGGCTTAACTAGGTTAATTAAGTTAAGTAGGCAGGTTAGGGGGATTAGGCAAGTTATTGTATAACAGTGGTTTGTTCTGTAGATTATCAAGAAAAAATATAGCTTAAAGGGGCTCATAATTTTGTCCCTAAAATGGTTCATAAAAAATTAAAAACTGCTTTTATTCTAGTCGAAATAAAACAAATAAGACTTTCTTCAGAAGAAAAATATTATCAGACATACTGTGAAAATGACCTTGCTCTTTGATTATTGCTCTTGGGCTAATAATTCTGACTTCAACTGTATGTATATATATATATATATATATTCTTCTCACAAATAGAAATACTGAGTTAAAACAAATATAGCGACAGCATCCAAAATAGGTGATATGATAGAAATACTTATTAAACAAAAAAAAAAAAAAAAGTTTGTTGGTTTCTTCTTCAATTCAGTTAATCTAAAGCTTGCTTATGTAGACTGTGGCAAAGAAGCTTAACAAAGATGATTTTCTATTAAATTAAAACAGCTTCAGTTGTATATTTGTAAATACTACCATACCCTATCTTCACTGTAATAAATCCTGGTTGCCTTAAATGTTTGAGCTGAATCAAATCAACCTTATAAGTCTATTGAACTTATATAACGTCAAACTGAATAACACAGCCTGCTTAACTTATATAATTAATTTAGAACACGTTAAAATGGCCTAAAACATATGCTGTCATGGCTAATTGATCATACATTTTTACAGTGTTCACATACTGTCTCTTTATATTTTATCTTTATATTTAACCATTTTACAAATGATTTAAATGCTATAACTTTACTCTTATTGGTCCTGAAAGAACTGTCAGGTTACTAAACTAAATTTAAAGACATTGTTCTAAATGAGAATTATTTTAGTTTTAATAGCAACAATTTAACAGTAGGCTATGTGACTAATCTAAAATTATCATTAACGTATGTATCACCATCATCGGTAACAATCATAATTATTATAATTACAAATGTTGTTGTTAATAATAACTTCAATTGAGTCGGACTGAATACAGCAGTCTGTCATTATATTCGTCACGAAAAACTGCAGTATGTCGCCCTCTCATGTCTCAAAACCGTCAGTTTAGCCACACGACTTCGTGGGGTCTCAAACTAAAGATGGTCAAGAAGTCAAACACTACGTGCGTTAGTACCTGCAACAAAAGATTTCAGACTAAGTACTTTTTTAGTGGTATGATGAATGGGATGTTTACATTGCCTTATAGCTTTATAGGCAGCATTTAAATTGGATCAAAACTATCCATCAAAATTGTCTTAAAACTGCCTAACAACCCATTCTTGTCTTAGGACAATTTTGATGCGTTTTTTTTTTTTTGATCCACTTCAATAGACATTTGCAGACATTGTGTTGGATTTGCAGAAAAATCAACATCCCAGGAAAGAATTTTCAAATCAAAATATGACTTTCCCATGTGAAACATTGAAACATTGATTTGTGGACACCATGACTAAAAGCATGTTTATTGCACATTTTAGGAGACAAAACAATTGAAGGGGAACACAGCATTTGATTATTCCTATAAAATACAAGATAATATTTCTAAAATCTTGCCAATTATTACTCCCTTTATTAAATTTCTCAATATTTTTTATATTTATTTACACAAGAAGTAATTAATATTGAAATTATATATAGTAAAAACTTACATGCAATAAAGAAAACGGAGATTTTTTTCTAAAATGATATACTAAATCATTCTGTTATGTCTTTTATACAAAAAAAGTTGTGTAATCTATATCCGAAGTTTGGTAAACAGAAAAAAAATTGTTAATATACATTCACACCTTTTTTTCTGGCTTTTGCGGCATGGAATTATTATAATTTTTATGATTATTTATATTGTATCATTATGATGTCCATTATATATCTGATTAAAGTCTGTGTTGATTGTGAAATGAAGAGTGAAAATGTGCTTAAATTGTAAATAATAACTCTTTTAGAAAGTGCAATTGAGCTTTGCTTAAAGCCAAATAGCATTCCAGTTTATTAATTGGATTGTTCCATCTGTTGAGTCTTTTAGTTGTGTGTGTTTAGTTTGTTCTGATTGAAGTTTCATTCTCAGCCAGTAATGTTTCAGTTAGGTTTTAAGTGTATAGGAACAACTGGTTGAGCGCACTTTCTGGTTTGTTGTGGGGGTTTTACAGTTGTTTTTACTATTTTACTTCGGTCTCCCTCTGCTGGCAAGAACGCATACTACATCAAAACAGCTTTCTACGTGGCATTTTTTCCCGTTACATTAAATATTTAAATGGATGTTTTTAAAAAATCAGTTTATGGCAATTACAGCACAATGTAAAGGCGTATATCATGGTGTTGATGTCACATTCATGCATTATGTTGGTTTGTGTGACCTTTCTTTGGGTTAAGTTGATCTGTAGTTATCAATATGTACCCCAAGATGGCAGTCTTTGCTATGTTTTTTTAGATTATAACTGCTGATGCAATATCACAAAAAGTGAAGCATACACAGACATGTTTTGAGTTCTGAGACAAAGCAAGGCTTTAAAAATGTACACAGTATAATAAATTATAGTATTCATCAATGAGAGTAATATTAAATTTGACTTTTTAAAACATTAAACACATAATATTACTCCCGGTAAACTCCCAGTTTCAGAGATGTGGTTTAAGGCTAGACCTAGATTAAACTGCATGTTTAAGCTGTCTAAATTGAAAGTGACTTTCGGTGACATTTTAAAAATATATCAGTGCCATTTATTTTACATAAAAGATGCTTAAATGCCCTAATTTTTTTTTCTAAGGCCTATCTATACCCCAAGTGGAAAAACAAACACATATGCTAATTATTCTTGCAAGCCAGACTAATTGTCAGTCTAGGCCTACTTCAAATGTGTTAATGAACTTTCCTAACTAATCTTATTTTGGTTTACACAAACATTTTTTTTTCTTTTCACATGTGTTAGAAGGCTATCAGTTTTGCAAAACACAATACATGTTTGTCCATACACTGTACAAATTATGTTCAATTAGTCATGATGGCATATGTTTTTAGTTCATCGTAACTTATTAAAAACTAAGGCAATCTTGTTCTAACCTATAATTTTAGAAGTTGCGCGAGCAGTTTTAAGTCAGTTTAATATAATATTAAATGTACTCAGATTCAGTTATGTATGGATTGGATTATTTATGGATCAGTTTATGTATGTCTTTGGTTTTTATTTATATCTTTATCGTCTTTACTGTACTCTGTTATATTTTGAGAGTGCACTCAAAGCATTTCTGAATTCAAGGCATCATGGTTAGAAAGTCAGACTCAAAATACAAAGGTTATTGCTATAAATTGTGTGTGTGTGTGTGTGTGTGTGTGTGTGTGTGTGCGTGTGTGTGTGTGTGTGTGTGTGTGTGTGTGTGTGTGTGTGTGTGTGTGTGTGTGTGTGTGTGTGTGTGTGTGTGCGTGTGTGTTCAGTACTGTGTGTGCAGATGTATCAATTAAATACAAAGCCCAAATTCCCAATATGGGTCAATGTACTTGGCCACATCAAAACTTTCTACCTTCTCAAACTAATTATTTGCCACAAGTGTTGCAAAAGTAAACTTCTAATAAACTCAAGTTCACTTGAAGTACAAAAAAAAATACAAAGTTCACCAAAAAATAAGAAATTTCCTCATCATATTCTTCAGACTCAAGTGGTTCTAGACTTTTATGAATTTCTTTCTTCTGTTGAACGCAAAACAAGATATTTGAAGAATTCCTTGGTAGGGATTAATAAAAAAGTGGACAAATTTAGACTGAAGCAGTATATAGCCTACATTTATTATAGCCTACTACAAATAGCCTGTAGTATAGAGCTACGTTAGAAAACTACTTAATTAAGTAGGCTATAGGCTAACTCCAACAATCATTAAGGTTACTTCATAATTAAGAGTATAAGACTACTTCTCTTTCGTATAGTTGCTTCTCTTCTGAAAACACTCCTATAATTATCGAAATATTTACATTAGCTAATGAAGAGAGAGAGAGAGAGAGAGAGAGAGAGAGAGAGTATGCTGCTTTATGCTTTGATTTAGGCTCACCTCCTTCAACATTTTCAATATAGTCTAATTAAATGTTTTCTCTGAAGCCAGTAAGGTTCATTTTCATAAGCGGCGTTATGACTGAGCTGTTTACATTAATAGAGGAATGGAAACAGAAGTGGGGCTGTTCTCTATGTTTGTGATAGGCAGGCCCGGATTAAGAACTCAGGGGCCCCTGGGCACATTGTCTTGTAAGGCCCCCTACCTGGCCGCACCCCTATAGTTGAATTTAAAAAAATAAGAATAATATAATAATTTTTAAATAAAATGAATCTATAATTTGTTGCCCACATATTTAAATAAATGATATATAGTACATATGTATTTATAGTCTGCAAAGATTTAAATTATTTTTCAAAGCATTAAATAAAAATACTAATAAAACTACATATATATATATATATATATATATATATATATATATATATATATATATATATATATATATATATATATATATATATATATTATTTTTTAAGGGTATTTTAGTGTATTGCTTTTACAAACTTATAAAGCATATTATTGCCATGGCATATAACGCACAATGCTTCTCCAATCCAGTTATATGAATCTGAGTTCTATCAATCTGAGTCTTTCATAATACAAACACTGATTTACTGTCTCTCTCCTCCTCTCCCTGTATTTTCTCTACTCTTCTCGTGATGAAGACTTGATTATAAACCTAAAAGTATCCGAAATCACACACACTATACCTCTTCTCTCCCGTCTCTCTCCTCTTCTGGGCCTTTCTCTCTCTCTTCTCTCTCCCTCTCTCTGTCCCTTTCTGTCTGTCTCTCACACGATGAATCCAGTCCGCGCTGCGCTGCCGTTAGCCTCCTCCGCCTGGTTAATGCTAGCTTCTCATCATTTAAAGTTACCATAACGTCTTCTTCTGTACCCTCATTCTCCTGATCAAGGGTCTGTTTAAAGATGATGTGTATGGAAAATGCCTCAATGAAGATGCCTCCTCTCCTCTTTCTCTCGCGTTTGCTAAATCCACTTGTCCACTCATTTTTGATCTATGACAGATATAACGTTACACTAAAGTCTGCTCAGTTTAGTGCGGGTTATTACAAAACTGACGTTTCCGCGCTTGACCAATTACAGCATTCTGTTTAGTTAAAGAAAGAAATGCAATTTAAATATAATACTAATATTAATATGTGATCGCGATTTTTTTGCTCAGAGGAAATACAGATGTCTGAGCAATAGAGTTTTTGAAGAGAGGGAGGCGCGACAGGCGCCTATAATAAGACTAAACATTATTAAATACCCACAAGACACTTGTGACTTTATATCACATTTGCATTATTTTTAAAAAATGTTTCTTTCCTGTTTAAAATAAATATATTTCCAATCTGATATGTAATGGGGAGAAAAAAAAGTAGCATGAGTTCAACTGATGGTGGATTCGAACCGATGTTATGAATCGCGTCAAAATATTATGCCGTGTGCCTTACAAGGTGCGCCACTGCGGCTGTATTATTTCACTGCTCTTTACTCATCTTGTCTCTATCAATCAGGCATCGATGGGCGTAAACCCTGAATAGCTTAGTCCAACTAGATGCGCTATTTGCAATTAGCCTAAAAAGACACTCCGAAATTGTCTTTTTTTCTCTCCCCTCGCAGGGGCCCCTAGTGCGCACGGGCCCCTGGGCCTGTGCCCATAAGGCCCATTGGTTAATCCGGCCCTGGTGATAGGCACATATTGACTTACCGACACCTAACCGCTGATTATACTTCAGGTTGTGCAGAAATCTTCGAGAATCTTTCTGCATTTTCGCATTATTTTCTCGACAGTGATAAGCTTAGAGAGGAACCAGTAGCACACCTTACACCCTACAGAGAATAATCTAGTCGTTTGTATTACCAGCAGTTGTAAAACCCACCGCTACGCTGCGCAACGGTGCGTGAATGGAGAGACATGTGTATCCTCTTATATCAGCCTCCAGCATCTTTTAGAGAACATAAAGGTAACAAATGTAGCTACGTCTGTCACTAAATGTCCTCATTTCACCCACGGTGTTCATTCCGCGCTCTCTTATTACTGTGTTTGCTACCACATGTGTTGCTATGCGACAGGGCATTTGGTGTTTGCCGCGCACCTCGCATTCTTTTTACACGTATTACATTTTAAGGGGTGCCGGAGCTAAAAATTGCTGAATTATAAAATATTATTTTTATAACTTTGGCGCTTTGATTAGTAATTCCACTGAACATCCATCAGTCAGTGAGGTCTATTGTCTACCGGATACATCAACCGCAGCAACACACTAAAAACACTACCGGTAAATGCTTACTAGGCTATTCAAGATGCTTTGTTAAAGATCTTTATCTCAAACGAATTGAATAATTTTAAGTTATTATTATTTTTTTTATTATTATTATGTGTTTATTTATCCATTTGTTTTATGTATGTTCGTTTATTGCTTAATTTGAGATAACTCTGTTTTGAGATAAGAACCATATTGCGTATCGTTTGGTTAGATGTGTTATGTTGTTTTGGTTATATAGTTATGAAAATGTTTTAAAAGCCCCCAACTTAAGCACGCTGTCTTCACGTGTGTGGGAGGGTCTTTGGAGAAAGGGGCAGGGTCACATATGAACCGCGTTGAATGTTGGAAGTTTAACAAAGAAATATCCATCAATTTAATGAGGAGGTCGTGTCCAATACTGTCCAGACGCCGGTAATACTCCCAGCCCATTTGTTTAACAGATCCACTCAGTCTGATGTCTTCTGTTTGACACCAAAGAGGAAGCGATGGTAAGACCAACAAATGCTTCACGAGGTGTAGGCTATACAGCCGAATAATTCTTCCGTGTTTCTTTTTATTAGCTACTACCTGGAAGATTTTCCAGCGTTTAAAGCTAGTATAACTGCACATGGATTCATTTTAAAGAAAGGGTTTGAAAGAAACTGTGGACTACTTGTTATTAGTCGTTTTCAGGTCAGATTCAGATCGTTCTAACTCACTAACATCATTATTGAGAGGGCGGGTAAAGTGTCAAAGTGATGCTGTTTATACTTTTGTAACACAAGATGTACTATCATCGACTCACATCTGTTTTACTTTCATTAATGTTATAATTAATGCTTGACCTGCTGAATTGAATTATTCCATGACATCATGATGGTAAACGTTGCTCTTGTGGTTTAAAATACTTTTCTCTTGTTTATAGTTTCAGTTTTAGTCAAAGGACTTCACATCTAAGTAACATTTTACATTTCAGTTGATTGTATGTTGTTATTGTAATTTTTATTACAGTGACTAATAGCAGTGTTAAGTAAAGTTAATTCTAATAGTACAATACAGTCTTAAAAATATTTTACTCTTAATAAAGCCAACAAAATAATAATAATAATTAAAAACAGCACATACCTTCAGTTTACAGATTTAGTAACACATTTAGTTATTTTTTAAAGTGACTCAAGATATTACAAGTTTAGCCAACACAGTAGCTAGCACCTGTAGATAATTTTTTCAGACTCTGACACTCAAATCAATGTCTTGATAAATATGTAAACTGTGTTCTTGAGTAACAATTAACAAACATTTGGGACTTTCGTTAAGCATTATGAATTATTATTTACTAACATGATAATTAATAATTCGTTACATTGCACCTATTGTGTTTATACATATATTTAGACTAGATTCAAATATACCTCTATTAATACATCTGTAAATAATTAAAAAAAAATAATAGATCATTAAATGCGGTTTTTCATACTAACCTCCGCCTAAATAGTGTATCTTACAGAAAAATCAATACAAGTGATTTGTTGAACATAAACATGATCTGTAACAACCTAACAACTAAATTTTTTTTGATGCTAATATATTGTAGACACCAAATGTGGTTTATTTAATATACACTTTCAGTCAAATGTTTGTTTTTTAAAGAAAATTATTTATTGAATGTAAAAAAAAAAATTTGTTAAATATTTAATAAACTTTTAAATAATTGCTTTCTTGTTGTATATAGTTTGAAATGAAATTATACTCTAGTCATTATTATTGCTTTTATTTCTATTATCATTTATAATAGTAACATTAATATTAATATTAATAATAATAATAATTAATATTCCAGTGATTTCTGAAGGATCATGTAAATGAAGACTGCAGTAATGAAGTTGAAAATTAATCTTTAAGTCACTAACATAAATTATTAAATTAAATTATAAACTACTTTTGATCAGCCATTGTATAGTGCAATACCATTTCACAATTTTACAACTTGTACTGTATTTTTGATTAAATAAATGCAGTCTTGGTGAGCAGGAGAAGCTTATTAAAAAAAAATCCTACTAACCCCAAACTTTTAACCAATAGTGTAAGTAAGATTGTTAAATAAATATATTAATAAATACATTACAGTAAGTACAGTAAGTTGTGTATTCAGAATGTTGTTACACAGGAAACTCCAGAAAACGGTGGCATATTACATTTACATTTATTCAAAGTGACTTACAAATAAAAAAACAAAACATGACAGTTTTTTTTTTTCATGTCATTTGTCTAGAACCTCTACTGTAGTTGGGGTTTAATACTTTTTCACATTCCTGTCAAGTTGTGAAATAATACAGTATTACCCTACTTTATTTGACTTGCATGCTTTCTAGTGCTTCTCAGGATTATGCAAATATTTAATTTTTTCATTTTCTTTTTAGGATTAATTTGTATTTTAGTTAGAGTTAAATGTGTTGTTTTATTGTTTATTGTATTTTAAGCTTAAGCTTTTATACCATAGTTGGTTGGCATGTTTTACAAGAAACTATAATCAAATCTCTGTAGGCAATTTCCATGTATTAACGGTTATATAAATGATTTTGGACATGTTTATGTGAGTATTATAGACTGAAAACACCATCCACAACAATATTTCAAGGCCCCATAACATAAAGTATTTCTGAAAATATTTTTAAAATTATTTTTTTCCAGAAAATCACATTAATTAAAATAATTAGGCTACCTCATTTATTGAGCTTTAAGTAAAGTTAAAAAGTTATTTAGGATGTGACTTAAAACAAGAAATATCTTAATTTACAGTTTATAACTTTAAACTATTTACACATTTTTGTATTTTAAATAACTTTAAGTCATGTTAAGGCTCCCTCGAGGGCCCAAATCACTGACCTGGCATTTTTTGTAAGTACATAAATATTCGTTTACACACAGGGATGGAATGAGGTTAACCTGTGATGTAACAGATTATAATAATATGTTTTCCACACTCCTGTTCATCATGCTTAAGCACATGTTGGGCACGCTGAGATGATGTTTTTTTTTACCACCGAAGAGATGAGAAGATGCAGGATAATCATAGCACACAGCCACATCTGGGCCCAATCTGCGCGCAAACATGTCGAGATCATTTATGATAGAGCAGAGCAGCGCATAAATGCGTCTCAAATCATGCGTTAAGTGACCACACTGTCAAAGCACAACTTCTGTACCATACATGGTGTGGTTCGGCTACAACACATAATAAAGTGTCCTCTGTTGACAATTCTACGTCACAAGCTGGAAAAGTGCCAGAATGGGTTACATCATTGCGCTTCAAAAGAAAGTTTATTCAATTTAAACTTTTTAGTCCTTTGCTATGACAAAAATGTTTTATGGGCAATTTATGAGTTTAACACGCTACAAAACAAGGTTATTTCAGTAAACAAAAACTAACACTAAAACTATTAGTCAAAAAACACACTTGTTAATTAAAAAGAAAATTTTTAATAAATAAAAAACTAAAACTAAACAAAACTATGAACAATCACTGAAAAACTAAATGCATTGAAACACTAATTAGCAAATATAAATGATACGTTTCAAACTATAAAAGCACTCATTCTGTGGTGCGAAATCTGACCTGCGACTGTTTAGAGAAATAACAGTAGATGGTGCTTCTATAGCCAAACACATCCAACATAGGCTCATAGGCTTTCAATCAGGTCTTTTGAAAACAGTATTGGTTGGGTTTAGGGAAGGAGGAGGGGGGGGGGGGGGTCAGTTGACAGCAGCCTTTGGTAGATTTACGAGAGAAGAGCAGGAACTCGCGAGAGAAATTTGAGATCTTGTTACCATCAACCTCTGGTGGATTTGCGAAAACAAAAACTGCAAAAAACGTAGCTCCTGGGACGTATTTGGTGCTCTCCAGAAATGTATATAGCGGTACATTTTCAGGATAAGCCTAGCTTGAACACGTCAGTCAAGCACAAAATTATCAACAAAACATTATATATTTTATATATTATTGTAAACTTTGCCTTTGTTCACACTGGATGTTTTCTGTTAAGAATTACTAAAACTGAAACAAAATATGTAAAATTAAAAAGAAATGTGTTCACAAAATAAAACCTAAACTAAAACTAACAAAAATCTACAGCAAATCTGAAAATACTATTAAATAAATAAATAAATAAATAATAAAAATACAGAACTATAATAACCTTTCTAAACTGCTCCCACCCCACCCCCAATGGTCTATCAATAGATGTATGGCTACTGACACCCTCTGGTTTTAAGATCTATTTAGAGTAGTTTAAACAGTGTGCAGTATTGAATTCCAGGATGCTGTAGTTGTGAGGAAATCTCAGATAAATTCACAAAGATTTTTGTATTACTTTCCTTAGCCTAGAAAACGATCTGTAATTGTTCATGCACATGTAGCCTGGGAAGGTTCTATATTTTAATAATTAGAGCTCCCATGAACGGACACCTTCATCAGACCGAAAATCAAAACGGGGAATTTCCTGGCCAGACAGACTGTCCACCATTTGTCCACAATGTAAAGTAAAGGGATTTAATGGCTGTATGAACAATATTTGCTTCCTGGTCGACTGGAAATTGGGAATGTTATTGTTGGTTTACTGTAGGATGTGCTGTCATGCTTGAACTTCCTAATGTTGGGAATCTAGAATTTTTCAGCGTAACCCAAATAATGTTTCAGAAAATGGCTGGACATGGCTTTAAATGTAATTATGGCCATTTACAGTATATATCCATCTTAAACTGCATGAACAAAAAGAAACAAACTGCAGAAATATGGAGTTAAAAACAGAAAAATAACAAATCTGCAGAAAACTGTGATCTTCACACCACAATCGTAACTTGATTATGGATTTTCTTATTCTATTTATCACTTGTGGCTTATATATCCAGCTAAACAAGTTTGTAGGATGTACAATACTTGAAGGACGTACTTCAGATAGATTGAACTTGAGTTGAACATTTGCCAAACAGTTGCGCAAAGGTTGTTATCTTAATGAATTTAGATAAAAGATAACGTGTGTGCTTTAAATTCTCTGGAGAAAACACCTGCATACAGCCCATTTCATTCTAAAAATATCTATACTATACTTTCTAATAATGGGGTTAAATTCAATTTAAAGTGTTTATTATTTACTTGGTCTATCATTAAAAGGTATTTGCTTTTAATGACCCTATTAGTGTAGTATAGGGAGAAGGAGTATTTGAAATATTGAAAGCATTTTCAGGTTATTTATTACTAATTGTTTGTTTTTTACTTCAAAGAACGATTATAATAAAATTATATAATAACTAAGTTTGAATATTGAATATGTTTTTAAGATATTAAATGGCCAGTCTCAGACTTATCTCTTATTACTTTTAAAATATCTGGCAGATGTTTAAGGTCATCGAACCAGAAAATTCGTTCCCAAATTGAAGAAATATAAGGGAATCAAGCTTAGTAGGTCCTAAAATGTGTAATGGGCTACCTATGTCCACAATTTCCAATTAA